AGTTAGTGGAGAAGGGGGCTGGCTCTGGGGTGCGGGGTGTGCTCGGAGCCTCGGCAGGGCTTTAAGCAGCTTCCATTATTATCTGCACGCTTCTTTCTTTTTTTTTTTTCTCTTTTTTTTTTTCTCTGCACTGCTGAGTGTTTTGCGCGTTGCGGGTGAGCTGTGGAATGACCTTAACTTTGTTTTGGTGCTTGCCTGCTTCGTGCAGAGCTCTGCTGATAGCCAGGGTGTAGCACACCGGGTCTGTTGGTTAATGTTGTGCCCGAGGGCCTGGAGATCTGAAAGGGTTTTGGGATAAGGCTGTTATTTAGCATTAAGCGGTATTGGAGGTAGAAGATGTGCCCTCACTGTGCTGCTAAGCCTTCTGAAATGCAAAGATGTGCTTCCTATAGGGTGTTGCTTTTCTCCTAAGGCATGCTTATAATTGCCAGTGTTTTGAAAGGGAAGATGGAGAAACTCAAGGTTTCTGAGGCCTTTCATAAGAACCATAACACAGTAGTGCCCATAAAATCAGGGAGTTTCTGCTGGGAAGTCTGACAATGGGATGCATTTACAGTTCTAGATGTCCCGTATGTGCTCAGAGTGGGGTGAAAGGAGTAACTGTTTACTGAGGAGCGATTTCCTTCTGTCAAGGGGGTGGTGAACATTTTTGAGTTATTCTGGCATTGTGTCATGGCTGATTTAGGTCTAGCACAGATTAGAGGGAAGGTCTGATGCCCTCTCTGCACTGGTGTGCTGATAGTTGTTTAGGTACTGTAATGTTATACTTCTCTTTATATGGAAACTAGACTAGGAAAATGTTTGTTTTGATGTATTTCCCCTAGCACAGTTCTTGTTTGGGTGTCAGAAGAGCTTTTTTGGTGATCCCTTAGTATATCTGAATTGAATAACTCTTTAAGTTAATTGCTTTAACTTTTTTTTCTCTCACACATGATTTTTCCTTCCCTGATCCTGAAACTCTTTGACTCCTTTCTGTTAGCCTTTCAGTGACATACTGTAACCATTCTGCACTCGAAAGGAAGGAGTGCTGCCTTTACCTCTCAAAGAGATGCAAAGCGTACTGAGAAAATAAGCTTGTGGTCCTCTGCTAGAGCTGTAAAACCTTCACCTTTAAGGACAGATGTGGCTCACAAGAACAACTTAACTTGCATCAGGAGGCAGTTGAGAGGCTGTTGGTGGCCCAAGGAATAGCTTGTTAGTGCATTAATTTATAAGGCAGCTGGATTTCCCGTGTGAACAGAGTGATCCATTCTTATCCTTTGACAGGGTTTTGGGCATCTCGCTTGTGTAAGAGGAGAAAGATTGAAACATCCTCTCCAGGATCTCCATGTGGTTGTAAGCCCCAGATGGGCAAAACACAAAATGATCCTTTGCTCTAACAAGAGGGTGGCCATGTTTGTACGTGGAACCTTGTGGGAAGACTGGGAAGTGGAAGGAGTGGCATCTTCACAATGGTGACTGATTCTTGTTTAAAGGCAGGAGGGTTGCAGCAATAACTGAATACAGAACTGGTAGGAAGTGTGTATGTTCTGCCAGTTTCCTTTCTGTGTTGGTGAGCATATTTACTATAGGAAGATTTACCATATTATTGCTCGGTTCTTTCTGTTCTTCATGTAAATGTTTTTTTGCATTATGTAAGTTATGATAGTGTGAGCTATCGGGTGTTGTACAAAGCCAGCTGGGAAGTTTGTCATTTTTATGGTCTTTGTAGGCTTGTAGGCCTGGCTGTGATCTCTTGAGACAGAGAGAGCCAAGAGAGGCAGTGCTGCAAGAAATGGTATTGATGATTGAATTAGTGATTTGTTGTTTGGTGTTTCAAAAGGTTTTTTTCCCCTCTATATGCTGTGATGCCTGAAAAGAGAATGAGACACTGTGTTGCTAGAGGGACAAACACAGGAAGCTGAGCCTTGAAAATGTCTGATCATAAGTCTTATTTCACTTTTACAGAAGTGCCAGCCTCAGTATTCTGAGGAAATCCATCCTTAAATAATTATGTTCTGCTTTCTTAGCTTTTCTACAAGTACATGAGTTTTCCTTGCCTGTCTCTAACAGCTAATCTGTGCTGGTGCATGTGTTCTGTTCACTAGCAACAAGACACATGCCTATTTAAGAGATTGTGCCAAGGTGAAAAAAATATATCAAAAAGGAGAAGCATTAGTTTGAAAATGTGGTTACATACATGCCTGTGTGGTTTTCTGGAAGCACAGTTCTGAAAATTGTTGCTGGTTGTAGCTATGTCTCTGAGAGCTTCTTGAGCTGAATTTTGTGGAGAGTGTGTTGGAACATCGTCTAAAGACAAAATTAGAATCCCTTTCCCCTCTTTTTATTGAGAATTTTCTGTTTTCAGCCTAGCAGTGGTGCTTCAGGTGTTTCCTACTAGCGGCTTTGTTCCCAGCAGCGACCTTTGTCATTGAATCTGGCGTAGTTCAAACCTGCTTCTCTGTTCCTGTTTTCTCCTGGTTTGCAGTGTAACTGTTGTCTAGCCACACAGAGTACAAGGTTCTATTGAGGAAGCTGCTCTTTCAGTAAGAACTGCAAACTTGACAGGAACAGGCTTGGCTCAGGCAAAATAATGCAGGTGATTTGGCAAAGCAAACCTGCCACGTCTCTCGGAAGAGAAATTTTGCTGTCAGACTGACTGTCCGAAAGTATTTGGAAGGGCTTTTTGGACTTAGAAAGATTTTGGAAAGGCTTAAGTCATTTTAAATACTTAGGTCTGCGGGGGGATGTTTTGGTAGTGGTGGGGGAACTTGGTTGCTTTGTTCTTGTTTTCCTTTACTGCTTACACTAAGGGAGAGGAAGTGTGATCCACAGTAAATGACTAATATGTGTGTGTTCTTAGTTTCCCCTACCCTTGCTCTGAATTAATAATGGAGGAAAGGAAGTCTAACTTTGGTGTAAAGAGGGCTATGTAAATTTGTTCTTGAACAATGTAAAGAGTAAATGAATTTCTTTTGTCGTTAATTATCTCCTATCCTGGTCTGCCTAGGCAACAATGGCAGGTGAAGACTGTGTAAGAAAACGCCAGTCTGGCTCTACTGCAACCTGCAAGACCCCTGAGAATGAAGAAACGCAGAAGAGATCTGAGAGTGAGAGGTCATTTCAAAACTCAAGCAATGGTGAGATTCTTTCGCTTGGGATGTGATCTCTGGCATGTGATCTCCTCTAAGGTGTCCTTTCAGGCTCACGGCTCTTGCCTCTTCAGTGTTTCATTTCAGTTTTGCTGCTTGTAGAAAGGCTGCGAAGGCAGAGCTCCTTGTTTACCAGCTACACTTCTTCAGGAGGTTTATGTTGTTTGGAGCACTGTCCCGCACAACTTTCCCTCAAGGGCTATGTACTGCTGTGCTTGCAGGGATCTAGAGTAAAGAAAGTGCCTAACAGCTACAAGACAAATGTGTGTGATGAGGAGGAGAAACTTTAATGCTGTAAGTTTGTCAAATTCTTGACAAGAATTTGGAATGATCCTGGTAAACGCTTTTTCTGGGGACTTCATCTTGCTTTCTTTACAAGTGACTGTGGCTTCCTCAAGGTTGAACACAATGGTCTTTAACATCCCAGGCTCAGCTGGTGTATCCAACCTGATTGACAGATGAAGGTAGGATGCCACAAAGAATGATTCTCTGCTCCTCTGGGGCTCTGTTAATGTCGGAACAACTCCCTTCTATCCAGTCACAACCTTGGCTGCTGTAAAATAGAACAATAAACAGTTGGGTTTGTATTCATTTATATTGTGGTCACCTAAAAGTTAGGTGGCTTATAGTGGCTTTGTGGAAGGCTCACTGCTGCCTGTGTCCTGTCCCTTGATTTGGTGGGACAGTTGTGTGGCAGCTTGAGTGGTTTTGCCTGGGGACTCTGTGGATGCTGTGACTGTCTCTGATTCCTGGGTTACGCTGCACCATATTCCAGCCCAGTAATAAGGAGTTTAGTGATGAGATTGCAGCTTGTTTCTCTTTGGGAGATGGAATAAGCAAAAAGCTAAACTAGTTTATAGCAATGTGCCACATGACTGTAAGTTCCAAAACCCTGGTGCCAGTGACTTGAGAAGATAATTCTCACTGGTGTATATATACTTCTGAATATTGTCAGTGTTTCATAATACATCTTTCAATTGAAACAGGAGTTGGAGCAAATTTAAGTTTAGGACAAGTCAAATTTCTTCTTGCAAAAAATATGTTGGAGAGAAAGCCATCCCACAAACTACTTAGACAACTGGGATTTTAAGCTGCTAGTGATACCATTGTTTTAATTGAATCAAATGGGACTGTTACGTTAATGCTGTTTTTTGGAAAACTGCAAGGAGTTGATGGCTACTGGAAAACAGTTAGGATGGGTTTAGGAGCAGACTTCTACCTCTTTATCTATGGAAACACCTTAACTGTTATGCATGAATTTGAGTTCTTGCAAGCTTGTGGGTAAAGAATAAATATAGCTGTGGTAATTAGCACTTGATAGGTGGGTGTGCCTGTCGTGAGAAGCCTTTCATTTTAATACCTCTGAGATGTGCCATGATGTCACTGCAGGTGAGATAACTGGGTGCGAACCGAGATTCTGTTGTAGATCTCTTGTAAGTGTACTGTGCTTTCATGTATGTACATGTGCCTGCTGGGTTGGCTCTAGAACAATACAGTGTGTTTAAATACGGTACAAACTGCAGTGAAGGACAGCAAGGACAGCGGGAAGGAATCCTAGTTAGTTAAGGCTTGGTGCCTCCTACCTTCCGAGGTTGCTGCCAATTCAGCAGAAGTGTCACAAAGATGTTTAACAGTTACCCGTTTCTGCAGACTCTTTGAGCAGCATGGTGATGGGGACAATAGGAATGCCACAGGGAGGTAGGAGGCAGGAGTCTGATGCCTGACTGCATTATAGGCCTGGAAGGAAGATGCATCCCTCTGGTCAGGAATTCCTCAGTACAGGGGGGTTAGCTCAGAATCTCTGTGGCACAAAGCTTGAAGTGTGACAAAGTTGAAGTGTTCACATGTTCCAGATAGCAGCCTCTTGTGGTCCAGTATGCTTGCGTAAATACGTAGGGATTTCTGTGAAAGCACAGCTGAGGTGGAAGAATTTCTCAAAAGGAGTAGCCATAGACTTCTTTTCTCATTTTCTTTCTGTCCCAGCCATTTGCTTCTAAATAGCTGTTTCTAAGGCATTAGTCCTGATGTATACAAAGGCAGAATGAGGCTGCTCTGTCTTTATACTTTCACATCTTAGCACTGGGTGTTGTGTTGAATTTTAGGCAAGATGCATGTTTGTTGCAGTCAAGGGATTCTAGACAAGTCAAGACAGTATGTTGTCTTTGTAGCAATTATTTCTGTAGAAAAATTAAATCGCTAATTTGATTTCCCACCTTTGATCCTCCCTGATTAGCAAACCCAATCTGCTTTTTAACTTAAGAGTTAATCTGTCAAGGGACAATTGACTTGTTTCCAGAAGTGTGTGAACTTTCTACAGAAGCTTCTAGGCCATTAATCCATTCTTTATTAAAACTCAAATGCATTGCCTGATTTGAAATTGCTTGGAAGAATAATTTTAATCCATATATTGGCTTTAGAGCTACATGAGGTCTGACTATTTCGTTTGTATAATTTAGGTTATTTTTTTCCTTGCCTCATCAATTCTGCCGAAAACTGCCTCATTGCTTGCTGAGTCCTAAGACTGGATAGTTTGTATTCAGGTACCCCCAAATTTGTAGCAATGTGGAAATATTTATAGTTTTCAGATTGCCAGAAGAATTCTTCTGTCCTTTGATGTGTATCTTGTAATAATTCAACTCTAATTTCGCTTTGACAGGGTAGCTGAACTTCAGTGTCATGTATCACTTCTCCTTGAGTTGGCTCCAGTGTCATAATTAAGCAACTAATTTCGTCCTGGCATAGAGTGAAGAGGTGATCTAGGCAGCAATAATCCCCTATCAAAAGCCGGGCTTCCTTAATAAGATTAGTCTTATATGTTTTCATCTGGAGATACATAAATAAATATGAAACTGTTCTGTTTAATGGGATATTGATATTGGGCAGTACCAGCTGCAGGAAAACTAACCTGGAATGAGCGTAATAGAAACTGCGTGGGCAGCTCTTAGAAGGTTAGAGAGGACGTGGCACTTGAGCATGTGTCTGAGTGCCTCTAAAATGCTAAGATTAGACCATCTAAAACAGTAAACTGGTGGTTGTGGAGTCTGCCCTTGTTTCCTCAGAAATCAGAAAAGGATTAGAAGTGTCTCCAGAGACTAATCTGCAAACAATCTGTGTATCATATCTTTGTTTGGTGTGAGTAAGCCTGTTTGGTAATGCTGATCTTAGAAAGGCGTTGTTATCTTCCAACCAAGAGGTTACTATTGATCATTCTCAGTACAAAAGTTCATAAAGCTGCATGAATTGCGTGTCCCTACTGTAGGAGGCGGGAGCTTTGAAACAGGGAACAATTTGGAAAGCTTTTAAGGTTTGCTGTCTGACTCACAGCAATAAATGTTCATTGTATCAACAGGCTATTTCTTACAGATTAATGAATTTGGGATTAAGCTGCTTGAATTGAGTTTCTTGGATGTGTTTCAGGGAGATGGATCAAACAGAGCTGTCTTGTCTGAGAATATGTGGAGTCTGGTAATTCTAGCCTCTCATGTTTTGCACCCTGTGGGTTTGAAGAAGCCCAAGCAGTTTCTTGTGAAGAGCCTGTGGACATGCTGGCATAACAGAGAATGCTGGTGTTTCCTCCTGCTGGTGAAGAGGCTGTTTGGGTCCCATGTCCCTGCAGAAATGACTTTTTAACTGAATTCTTTGCCCAACTGTAGTGCAGTGACCTATGGCCTGTGCATTCTTTAAGGAGATCAGCTGAGTTCTGGGAGCAATCTACTCATAACTTGCCTCTATCTGCTGAGTGGCCAAATAATAAATTACCATAAGTCAGAATAAGGCTTATTAGCATCAAATTGTTAACATATGTTGTATTGTACCAGATGTGGAAGACTTCCCCTCTTTTCAATAAATAGCCTTATCACTAGGTTGGCTTTAACATTGTTCTCCTTCAGATAATGTCTTCAGTGTTCCTAAAGACAGAGCCTTTGAATCCGGGTATGTAACAGTAACAGGAAATCCTTCTGCCTGTGTTACTTTAACTTCTTGAGGGGCAGCTTGGCTGATCAGAAAATAATGAAGATAATATTTTTAAACTCTTAGGGAAGGGCAGTACTGGGTACAGTTTGTATCTGATTTGCCATGAAGATCCTGAAGCTAAACAAATTCTGACATCATCAGGAGAAATTTCTTCTGAACCGTGAGTGGTGTGCTTGGCTGTTCGAGAAGTCTTTTTTTTTTAAGAGCATGTGGCAATAAACTGAAGTTTGTGTGCTTTTCCTAGCTTTTCTGCGAAGAGGTATTTTTGTCTTGAATGCTGTGCAGGGATTCAGATAGTGGTGGTGTCCCCGGGTTGTTTTAACTGCTCAATAATAAACCTATTGCCACAATGCAGGAACAGTTTGAGCGGCAGCGGCTCAGAGTGCTGGGCTGCAGGCAGCTTCACTGGCTGGTGAAGTCACTGCAGGCTGGAACTGTAACACTCCACACAAGCCACAGCTTTACTCAGATGACTCATTCCCACTTGTACTCTTGGTGGTAATTGCAGACTGTAGCAGTTAAATAAAATTAATATATTTTTAGCACAGTTAATTTTTGAGAGCTTGCTTCGTAGAGTGCTGGGTAGTGTCTTTACGTAGAAGCTGTTTTTGTTGGATCCCAAGCTGCAATGCTAACAGATCGTATGAATGGGACGCTTCTCTACTCATCTCAAATGTGACTTATCTGTAACGTGTACAAGAGTAGGTTGAAAAAAGGGATGATGAGATCCTTTAAGAAAGGTAGGTTGTAAATCTTTTGTGAAACTTAAGTTACTCAAGTTTTCAACAATAAAAAGCTTTCTCAGTCTTCAGGTTATCTTTTATGAGCCTCGGTTCCTATGGAAACAAAGCTGACATTTAAATTGCTCATTTATTTTTCTTCTAACTTTTGAACCTGCTTTGAGTTTGGGCTATGCAGAGGTGTTACATTCTACAAGGATCAGTTTCTGCAAGTCCAAGACAAGTGGTTAGCTTGATAAAGATCTTAATCACCTTCTTTGAGAAGGGAATACAAGTCCCATTAAGTTAAAACTTCTCCCTATGAGCAGAGCTCTTTCAAAGCCAACCCTGCTCAAGTCTCCTGTGAAATTGCTACTATTTCATACTAGCCTTCAAAGAGGATTTTCTGCCTTATGACTTAACTGTTATTTCCCATTTTCTTAAGGTGTATCCCATCTTGATTTAGATGCTAAGATGTGCTTGCTTGTGCTGTGCAGCCTTCAGTCCATTTTTGTAGTGATGTTGCAATGCCAAAGTGACACGGGGATCCAGTCTTCATTTCAGTGTCAAAGGAAAATAAAGATTTAGACTTCTCAGCAGTGTACAATTCCTTTTAGACTCAAAATCATGTGATTATTCTCATCTCGAATGACCTCACACAACATAAGTAGCAGCTTGCACAACAGAAGATGAGTGATTCAAGAAGCTGATGAGTTTGTGTTCTCTGGTATCTGCCTTGTGATGCAGCTTGAGTTTCTGGGGCGATGCAACACAGCAGAATGGCAACACAGCAGAATGAGTTGTTTTGGGATGGGTTTTCTTCTACAGGAGTCTGTTCTGGGAAAGATGCAACAAGCTTTACAGGTGGTTTTACTTTGTTATATGAGATGCGTATACTAAAGATACGGAAATATTGATTTTAAAGCCTTTTAAAAGATGCTATGTTTCTAGTCTAGGCTGTGTATATGCACTGGTGTGTGGGTGAATAAAGTGACAGGAGGGACACTGCGTACAATTTAACAATTACAACATCAGCAGGTCAGAGACTGGCCTCATTTCCTGTACAACCGCTGTATCTGTAAATTAGGTACCTGTAAAACTATATCCATTTTAAGACCTTGTAAGTAAAAAAGGGGGTTTTATTTCCAAAGTGAGCTGCTCCTGGGTAGTTTTTATAGCTGAGGCTTCAAATGACAGATTTGACAAGAAATACATGGTCAGAGCAGCAGCTATTTATTTTTAGCTTGGCTTACAAAGGAAATAGTTCAATCCCTTAAGTCTCATGTGTCCTGTTGGATGGCTTCAAGCAAACTTGATAGTCTTGAAGACTGGCAGATGGATAAAAGACACAAATTCTTACCTTTCTGCAGGAAAAGATTAGTTGTGCTTTGAGCTCAAAAGCTCTGTCTGGTCTGCTTGCTAGCACAAAGTGGTTCTTAGCATAGTAGTAATGGGGGAAGGGGGCTATTCATGCAATTGTGGAGTGGCACAGTGAGGGAGTAGAGCCATTGCGATGTTATGAAGGGGATACAGTTCTGCTTGTGGAACAACGTGAATTCTTTTTTTTTTTATTGAGGGAGACAGGGGGAGGGGAATCCATTTGAGATCAGCAAAGTGCACGAGGTGAGTGGTACAAGGGACTCTAATGGTATCTATCACTGTTCCCAAGTTCTTTTCCAAACTGCTGTTGCTTGGCAAGTGTAACAGCGTGATGAGCTTAAATGCAGAGGTAATTTTTTTGTCTTGGAGGTGAGATGCTTAGCAACCAGGAATTCTATTTTTGTAAGAAGGGATCTTTGCGTACAGCCAAAAATTCATGGTGTTAAGCAATTTCCTTGTTTGTTGCTGCATTACAAGGCCGCTAAGTAATAGGCTGGTGTTGCTGGACTGTTCATAAGTTCTGTTCGTAACTGCTTGTGTAGCAGTTTTAATAGACAAAAACTGCTTGTTTGGGAAGGGGGGAATTAATGCTGACAACTGAGCATAGCTTTGTTGGAGATAAGTTTCTCGTTTCATTAAATTATTCTCCAGTATTGGAATTGGAGTAATCTCTGAAATAGGTCTATCTAAATTTCTTACAACTGGTTGTTCCTAAGAGCACCTTCAGACTAGCATCCATCACAGAAGCACTTGCTTCTATTAAAACATTTTGTGTGCATAGGCTGCGCACACAGGAGGATGAGGCAAGGAGGCTGCATAATGAACTGTGATACTGCCATGAATGAATTGCTATGTCTTCTCATCACACAGCAGCACAACATTGACACCTCTCCTGCAGAACTGTTAGCTCATGCTTCACTGGAAATGTTACTAGAGAATCGGTTCAGGATCTTCTTTTTATAAAAGTGATAGTGTTGTCTTAAATACTACTGAACATGAAAGTTGTAATGCTAGCCATGTGTTACTGTGTAAGGTCCTGGTCTAGCTGTCATTGCCAAAGGACATGCACAAGGCAAGGTTTGTTGCTCTCTTTTCACCCTGACTGGTATTTTAGGCTGGTGGATATTGCTGCTTTTTCTTCATGTGCAAGACTCTCTGTTTTAAATAACTTTATCTTCTGTGTCATTCTTACCAGAGAAATGAAACACCAGCTGGCCTGCCAGCACTCTACCACCATTGTAGACAAACCTTGTCTTAAAGCTCAACTAATCTGAAATGTCTGATTTGTGTGTGTTCCGCGTGATGTAATAGATGTGTATAGTTCTTTATACAAAAGGAAGGTGATATCTGGGGCTCAGCTCCGTATGAGCCAATTATAAAAATCAGATTATGTTCATGGTATGGTTAGACGTGACTGTTTGCTTAAGCATTGAAACATACTGAGGAATACTGACCAATGTCTCACTTCTCCTGGGAGGTGAAAGGAGTAGGAGAGGCCAGGTTTGAACACAGAATAACCTTCCAACTTGCCATTTAGCCTGTCTTCAGAGCTGGTTACTTTATTTTACAGATAGTTGTGACTGTGACTTGGTAATGTAGAGACCTCCAGACAACTTATCTTACATCTACTTCACTGTATGTAAGATAAAGCTCTGATAAGAGATCAGCACACTTGGATATGACCTTCTAAGGGTTGTTCTAGTTGCTGCTTCAAGGCTGAATATGTTTAGGAACCTTGGGAAGATTTGCAGAGTTGCTGATGGAAAAGAAAGCTTTTGCAAATCCAGAGTGTTATCAATTGTTGACTGCCTTATAGTGCTGTGATCCTAAATGGCTGTTTAAAATACTTGATCATAGCTTATGAATTTCCTGCAGCTTAGTTTTGAATTTACTGGGACCTTATTAGAAGTTAGAAGCACTAAAGAAAAATCAGTGACCGAGCTACTGTGTATGTTGTGCTTTCTGTGTTCTCAGACATGCAATTTGCGTGGCTGAAAATGCAACTGTTAAATATTTGCTTTCCTTCCTTAGGCCGGGTTGATGTTGACCATGTGATAACAAGGAAAATGCAGCTAATAGCAGAAGCAGAGGTAAATATGCTCTAATGCTTGCTTGTGGGGAGGAGTGGGATGATTGACCCTGAATGTCTTTTGGGGAGTCACAAGTCCTGGAACACAAATATGCCTCTTCAGTCATAGCCTGAGTGCAGTGACTTCTGTACAGCCCTCTTTCTCTCCTCCTCTTCTGTTCTGACTTTGCACAAGAGGAGTGGTATTATCAAATGCAGTTCTGTCTTACTTGACCTGATAGGTTGAAGTCCTGTCCTGGTTTCAGGTGAGACAGAGTTAACTTTCTTCATAATAGCTAGTAAGTGGCTGTGTTTTGGGTTTGTGCTGAGGAGGCTGATAACACAGCAGTGTTTATAGTTGCTCCAGGACAGTCAAGGATTTTTCAGTGTCTCTGCTGTGTCAATGTCTGCAGGGGCAGGAGAAGCTGGGAGGGAGCACAGCCCCAGTGACTAGCCCAGAATTCAACCTCAGGTTTAGGATTGAGACCCAAACTGGCCACTGGTGTATTCCACATCATGCATGTCATGCCCAGTATAGAGATGAGGCTCTATCCAGAAGTGCTCTCCCTTGCTCCAGGTCATCCCCTCTTGCTCTGGGTTGTCTCTCCGGGTCACCCCTCTCTCAGGGTCTTCTCGGTCTCTTGGACACTTCGGCTCTTACCTCCATCCTGGGATTGCAGTTTTGGGACTCTCCCTGCTCTGGGATCATTAGCTGGGAATGGGCTGAGCCTTGGTCATTGGGTGGTAAACAGTATCGCTGTGTGTCACTCATTTGTACATCTGTATATATTACTATCATCATTATAATTATTTCAAATATTATTGCAGTTTAGTTATTAAATTGTTCTTTTCTCAACCCATGAGTCTCTTTTCCCTCACCACTTTATTCTCTTCCCTGTGCCCGGGAGGGGGAAGGGTGAACGGTGAATGAGCAGTTGTTGCGGTGTTTGGCTGCCAGCCAGAGCTTCAAAACCACAACAAGTCCGAAGATAAGAATGAACTTTGAGGCCTGTAAATAAAATGGATCTTCCCTCACCACTGGTTTTTGGCAGTATGATTATCAGCTAGACTGCTTGCATGTTTAGAAATGCTTTGTGTCCTGCTATCCATTGGATAAAGGGTAGCGTGAAGCCTGTATCCCACAGCTGCTGTTGCCCTGGCTGTGGAGGTGACCTTCCTGAGCCTTGGTCCCGCTCGTTTTGTCAGCAAGCAATAGCCACAAAGAAAACAGCACTGGGTATTTCTGACATCATCTGCATTTATGTACGCTGCCATTGTTTTAGCTTATGTTAAGGTGATTTATGCCCAAATTAAATGAAGTTAGCTAACAATGAACTGCACCCTCCTTGCTAAACATTGGTTTGTAGCATGTGCGTGTTCTTCAGGGCAAATCGCCCTGCACTCTTGCTTCATCTTATTGCAGAGAATTCTATGGTAAAGATGAAGTAATCTAGTTGTGCCACCCTGATGTGACTATTAGGGAGTGCATACTTATAAGACTAAGAAAAATATCTTGCACCTTTGAGGCGTTTCCCTGTTTAAAAGTCTTTTTATCACCTTTATAGGCAGTGTGTAATTTATAATAGATATAACTAAAGTGTATTTAAATGTCTTCTGCAAAGGGCGTGCTGTTGTTTGTGTTGAAACTCCTAAAATTCAGCACATGCAGCTGTATAGGTTCCAGGTTCTGGGGAACCCGGTTGCAAGGGGACAACTTGATCTTGGATTTCTTTCTTCAGGACTGTCTCTTGTTTCTAAATTTTTTTTTTTTCTGGCCACCAGCTTTGAGACACGCTATTGTGTAGACAAAGTGGTTTCTTATCTGCAGAGAGAATTGAAGAAAACCAGCAGTGGCACTTTAATTACTGAAGTTTCTCCCCAAAACACGGGGAGTTCAGGTTTTAAACCCTGGGTTAAGCAGCTTGCAAATTTGTTTAAAGTTCCTCAGAGCTATAATAACAGCTATAAGGCTAAGTAAAAACCTCCATCTACTGCAAAATTCATGAGAATTCCTGGAGTGCCTGACCCTTTTGTTGTGTGAACCCCTGAACAAAAGGTTGGGTTGCAGTTTACTTTTTAGGTGATAGGTGTCTGAGGTCTAGACAGATGCTTGACTTCTGAAAAGTGCTGATCACTGACAACTTCCAGTGATTCAAAGGTGCTAGGTGTTATTTGAAATAGAATGACATCATACACCCGCAGTCCAGTCAGAAAATCTAGGCCTTTGTTCATCCTAGACTGAGTTGGGAATGGTGTGTTTTGTCACTTGGTCCGGGCTGGATGTTGTCTCTTTTCAGTGACTGAAATTACTAAATCTGTTAGAATGAGTAAAATGCTGGGGACCTTTTGCAACATTATAAGTAAACTGCAGGGTTGCTTACCTCAACTTTCTCGGACTTCTTATCAGTTATTGGCCAGCTTCTGGCTGTCATAGCATTCTTTTCATACTTTTTGTTTGGTTTTTGTTTGTTGTGGTTTTTTTTAATGATCTGATTCTGCTGTTTCAAACTTAATGGTGACAGCTGAGTGACCTGCCCAGTTTCTTGTCTGAAACTTCAAGCATACTTTATGTTTAAGTACTCTCTGGGGGAAGCTACAACAAGGCCATCTGTGTATCCAGCCCCTGTCAGAGTGAAGACTGGTGGGAGGTGCTTTCTCTGAACTTCCATTTCTTTGGTGACTTGGTGGAATGCACTTGGGCTATTGAGCACTAACAGTTACTCTGGCAATTCCTCAAGAAGACTGCCCTTTGAGTGGCAGTAGTAATAGTTGATAATATAGCACGATTGCTGTGCAGTTTAGTTGTACAGAATTAAAATTACTGTAAGATCTACGCTTTGGTTGTGTCGTTTAATCTAACAAGAATTCATGCCCTGCTCTTCCAATCCAAAGGTGCAGATGTTGATGTTAACCCTGGAGGGTTGTGTTTGGAGGAGGCAAACTCAGCAGAGTGCTAACTGTAAAGGAAAGAGGTGGTTCAAGGAAATAATTTCTGTTAAACTCTTGCTGAGAGGAGATTGACCTGGGAAAAAAAGGGAAAAAGCTTTAAATAAAAGGGCAGGTTTTGGTAGGAATGAATAGTGCTTTTTTTGGCATGGAAATTGGAGTGCTCTCAGAAGAGCAGGAATTTCTATTTGACTTTTTTTGGTAGGGATATGTGCATGCACGCTCTAAAAGCAGGCTGTGCCAGAGAGCACTGGTGTCTTCTGTTACAGGTTGTAGTTCCAAAGTACTCAACTAATGTTTTTCTACTGTTTTTAAAGGAACAAATCCACATCTCTGCAAGAGACAAACCTTTTCTCTGCCTCCCAGAAAGCAGTATCTAAGAAGAGCCAGTTCCCAAGAGATTCTGTTTCATTAAGTACTGGTGAAGTTTGTTTATTCTATATTTGCAGCTGCCAAATAGGGGGAAAAATGTTTTTATGAAGTTAAATATTAATCTGTTCCTTTTCCTACTGCAGCTTGTCTTTCAAAAGATCTCTCTGGATCTGACCACTATGAAACAGGAGGAATGTAGAGTTCTGATGCATCTTGGCCTCACGGTCTTCTGGAAGATTTCAGATTGTCTTGTATTTTCTGCCATAGACTTAAACTTGCTTGGCTGTTGTCACGTTAAATGGTAGCAGTTTGTAAGAATACATAATCTATTAATATATTTTATTAGCCTCAAAGCTTTGCTTCTAGGGAGGGCTTTTTAGCTTAGTCTTTTTTTTTTTTTTTTTTGGATCTACTATATAAAATTAATCCAAGCATTCTTGGAAAACGAAGGCTGTATCATGGATGACCATTGCCCATCAGTGGAAATCGGACTCCTTAAAACACAGCTGTAGAAAGATGTCTGTGTCAGAGGCAAACATATCACTGGTGCAGGTCAGAGCTAACAGATCCCGTTTCAGTTATCTGGCTTTTCCTTCTTTTCTTAGACTTTGTTCCTGTTCCTTCTTAGCAAAACCAGTGCTGCTCCAGCTTTCTCTAGCATAATAGCTAGGCACTGAAACACAAATACCTACTGAAAATGAGCTCGAGTATAACAAATACCATTTTGAGGAAGTGGTGTTTTTGTGCACAACTTACAGACTCTTTCTTTCTCTCCTTGAAAATGGATTTCTTGGTTTTGTTACTTTTCAGTCTTAAAGATTAGAAAATAGATAGCAGTCAGGAATTCCGAAGGTGATAAGGGAATCGTGTGTTTCTAAAGTGGCTGATCCAGTAGGAAGACTAGATGAAAAAATATGTAGTTACCATGTAGGAAGACTGGGACCTTGAATCTGGAGACAAACTTGAAAAATCCAAGGCGAAGGGATGATCTGACAAATTTTGCCAGTAGGCACTTGCGTAAAAAAAACCCAAAACACAGTATGCAATTAGATTTTAAGTGATTTATTGAAGCTTGCCTATCTCTTGTGCTGAAGATTGTGCTGGCAGAGCATTCTAGAATGGATTATGGTTCAGGAACTTGGGATTTAGCTTTCAGCCATGCTTCATCACTAGGCTCAAGTTTTTGGGAAAATCATTTGGTGTCTGAGGACTTAACGTTATGGAACTGAATTCTGAGAAGACTTATAAATCACTGTCCTCTGAAGTGCCAGAAATCTTATCTTTAGATTCACAAAGTTCCTGCTGAAACGCGTGTTGCCTTTTCCTTTCCTTGAGGGAATTAATTTTCCCTGCTTTTTTCTAGGCATAAGAATAGCAGGCCACTGTGCAAATCTCAGGATCCTCTATGCATATAGAGAGTAAGAGAATTTGCATTGCAGCATAGAGCTATCCAGAGCTCAGTGTAGCAGTTTCAAGAGAAATAAGTAACTTTGAACATTTTATTATTTAGTTTCTTCCAAATGCATCTAGTTTTAAAAACACTGCCTGGGGTGTAGGGGAACAGGTCTTTCAAAGTTCATGTTATGAAACTGAATTGCAGATCCAGCTATATTGCAGACAGGAAAATACAGGAAAGAATTACATGTGCTAGTCTTCAGGCAAGACAAAAGGAATATGAAAGTGTCTTAGCATTAAACAGTCTGCCTTTTGAAGATGAATTATAGTCCTTATAACTATAACTTATTATTGGGAGGGTTAAGTAATGTTTTCCTTTCTAGAAAATAAATTCTTTATCAGGTGAAGCAAGCAGTCTTTGACCAGGGTGGCCTATGCCTTATCCACAGCTGTTTATCTCTTTTTTTTTTTTTTTTTTTTTTGGCGCTGTGTCAGCACATTTTTCCAAAAAGATGATAAAGAGGGGGATGCTCGTCAGTGGTTTTTTGTTCACCCTGAGAAGTCAAGGTGTCAAGTAAACCAGATGCTTCAGAAGTTGCCTTTGTCTAATAAAATGAGAGAAGAAAAATATGAATAGGCTAAAAATGGTGCAACTTTATCACAACTAGCTGTAATAGAGCAGATAACATGCATAAAGCCATCTGAAGAAAAGTGAGTGTAGGAGATTCAACTGGGATATCTGATCTCGTGAATTCTTGAACTTCAGTATTGCTGCCTGCCAGTTTTGTCTCACTGCTCAGTCTTAATACTTACCAATGGTACCCTGTTTCATTGCTTTAGCGAAAATTTTCTGTGCATTCTGTAATTTCAGTGGTAGTCAAAGTTTGCATCCAAACAATGGTAGCAGTGGAAGGGTAACTTTGGTCCTTCTTCCTGCACTCACTCAAGTCACTGAGATCACTTCTATGTTAATGCATGAGAACATCGATGGTGATTGCTTAGCCACAAGCATGAAGAGGTCTGGCTTTCCCTCAATAACACTAGATGGGCTAAAAGTAGATCTTACTATGGTTTGGGTTGGAAGGGACCTTAATGATCTCTAGGTCATGGGCAGGGACACTTTCCACTAGATGAGGTTGCTCAATCCAGCCTGGCCTTGAACACCTCCAGGGAGCACCTTGTACTCTAAGGATGTAACTCTGGTTAAAATTGAGAAATGTTTTCTGGGGCTTATGTATTAATTTTAACTCAGCCTTGGCACCATAAAATATGTGAAATATCTGCCACTCTGGACAGCTGCGTGGTATTTGTTGCTGGCTGCATAAAACCGTGACACATATGAAGGTCAGTATGTTTACTTTACTCCTCTCTGTTGCATCTAATAGAGAAGATAAACAGTATTCAAAGTCCTCTGGCCTGAGGTGTGTGAACAGGCCAGGATAAGCCCCCGATCTTTTCCAAGTTGGCTCCAACTGTTGGCAAATGGTACAGGAATGTTTTCTTGGTGCGTTGCTCTGCCCTGCTGAGGGATAAAAAGGAATAAAAATATTTAAGGAAAATATATCCAGAGAGTTAAGCAATTTTCTGCTCTGTTTTCATTCTATCAGCAATTGAAGCCAGCTTTCATGAAGGAAGTGGACAGTCACTTCACAGAGTTTGTGAACAGTTTGGTAGCAAAATCAGCACTCCTGGACTCCTCATCTTCAGCCTCCCTCTTCCCAGCTTCCTGCTCAGAGAAGGAACTGCACAAAGCCAAGTAAGTCAGGTTTAAGCTGTTCCTATAACAAGGCTATGTTTCCTGGAAGCCTTACTTCCTTTCTTGTCTCAAATGTTCTCCTCTTTGTTTGCAGGACCTCCAGGGCCCCTCCTGAACATGGGAAGTTCTTTACTCCCAGAAGGTCCCTCTTGGAGTGAGTAACTTAACTTGACATTTTCCATTAAATTGACTGAAAATGCCCTTGACAGCAAGCTAATTACCTTTGCTTTGAGGTAGTCTCCCCATCACCACCCATGATCTTATGTTCAAACCCCTGTGGACTGATCTGTTTAAGCTTCTCTGCTTCTTTCTAAAGATCTCTACTATAGCTTGCAGACTTCTCCACATGTAAACCTTTAATTAAAGTCCTCTCAGTACCACTGAGATTAATGGCTAATTATCCTTTGAGGATAAACTAAGGAAATGGCTGTGTAGACTGTCTCTTAAATTTGTGTGTTAACTTTAGTTTCGTGAGTTGGTCATCTTACTTCACTGTAAAATACTTTGAAAGCTAACATAATAGAGGTAGGATGCATTAAGCGAATGGCCTGATAGCATTTGAATCTCTCCCTTAGTGAGCTGTTTGAAGTGAGTCACATCAGGACAATTTACCACATGTTCATTGCTCTTCTCATCGTCTTCATCCTGAGCACACTTTTAGTAGACTTCATTGATGAAGGAAGGTAAGAATGCTTTGGAAAGACAGGCACCGGGGCTGGAAATGCTCTGCTTCAAAGTAGCAGAGGTACATGAAACTGAAGAATGGTGGAGAAAGAAGGGGGAATCCTTCCTTGGGGTGTTGTTGGAAGGGGGTTTTCAACTTGTCGTACTTAACATATATGCTGGAATTCCTGTTGAGGGAATATGGTAACTTCAAATCTCATAGCTAGATACTAGGAAAATCCTACAGGTTGGGGTATTTTGTGAGAATAATGGCTGGCACAGTTGGACCTCATAGTTCATCACAAGGCTGGCAAAAGGGAGGGGTCTTCATTGAATGTGGACTGCTCTAGCTGAATATATTTAATGAAACAGTAGCTTTCGCCTGCTTGCATTGCTTGAAGGAGGACTGTTTAGAAAAAACGTTGACTATTTCAGCAGTCCTTTCTCTGTTTAAAAATGACAGTTCTGGAACACTGTACTTGTGGTTAAATAAAAATAGAACTTTTCATTTTTCCTGGGGAAAGATCTCAAGGATATTGGCACAGCCTCCATTAAGATTGTGCTTTGCAGGTATCCGGTTGTGAACAAGACTGTGAAAGACTGCTTTCCTCACACTTGCTTGTTGCTTTAAATAGTATCTTTTTCACAAGCTGCATCCCATGTACACAAGCAGGATTACATGTTTATCTTGCTGATTATCTGATCTTCAGTGCACAAAACTAGAGCTGTATCTTGATTATAATAATTGTCCCTCTTGTCTAAGAACAGGCTCGTGCACTATTGAACATTGTTTAGCTGATCCTGACTTAATATTGTATGGACATTGGGGGAGAATAGGTATTTTCCTCTAAAATCAACTAGTAGAGCTGGATTCTCTGATTGCTTTAAAAAAAAAAAAAATCATTGCTGTGTTCTCGGGTAGATCTGATAATTTGGATCCAGTTTTAAACTGAGCCTCCACATGAGGCACAAATAAATTGTGTTGGTGTACTCTCTACTCCCTTCTCCTCTGACCTTAGTTTAGAAGAGCCACTTATGCATAGGAGTAAGCTCTGGTGACTTTGATAGCTAGTAAGGTCGAACGTCCTTTTGTTTATGTCCTTATGTTTTGAGTGTGATTAATGAACTACAGTACCTGGTGCACACCAGTTGGACATTTTTGGACTGACAATCTATTGACCCTAGGCCTTTTGGGTGACTTGTAAACTGAACACATGCAGAATGCCGACAGATTTCACAAAGCAGAATTAAATTAGGTTTGAGTGCTGGATACCTCATGCTATAGAGGTTGGGTAAAAACATCTTTAGGTGTTAAACTCCTGGGAAGAACTGATTCTTAATGTAGTAGTGATGACATCCCAGGAGTGTTCCCCAAAAGCTCTTTTGGACCCTGGTTCGGCAGTGGATCGTTTAGTCATGTGCTTGTTCTTAGCAGGGATGAGTACGCTTCAGCGTACTCTTAAAGCAGATACTGATCTTAAAGATGTGCTTAAGCCGTGTGGGATTTGAAGGTAAGCTGTGCCTGGCAGCATTGATGGCATGAGTCCTTCATCTCTTATTTTCTGGTGTGCTTGTGGGTTGTCACTTAGATGTGCCACAGACAGCCCTCTGCTTCTGAGCTGAAAATTGCCACACTGGACTGTCCAACAATTATGATCTGGAAGCTTTGTGTTTTGTAGACATTTAGTGGAGCAGAAATATTTCTAATGAATAATATTGTCTCTTTCCTTGTGCTTTCTAGGCTGGTCCTAGGATTTGATCTCTTGATCTTTGTTTTTGGAAAGTTCCCAGTCGTCTTCTGTACTTGGCTGTGCATGTTCTGTGCCACAGTTATTGTTCCATACAACCTTTTTGTCTGGTGGGCCCAAGGCTATTGCAGCTCCTCCCATCGTGTAATCCACTCCCTGTTTTATGTGATGTTGCTCACACTCTTCCAAACAGCTGGACTTGGAGTTGGACCAACCTATATTGCTGTATCATATGCCCTGCCTCCAGCTTCCCGTTTTATTGTGATACTGGAACAGGTAGGTCCCAACCCGGTATCTTTGGTTATATTGAGTCTTGTTTCCAAAATGGAAAGGGTCCTTTTTCCTAAGGAGTCAGATGTTGCTTTTATTCATTAAATTAAGCCAGGGCTGTGGATGGAGTTTGTCAAGACAGACTTATATGCGGTGAGTCTAATGTGAAAAAGTAGATGGTAAACTCCATTTTGACCTGGAAGACACTTGGGTTTTTACCCTGTATTTAAGATTTTACTGTGGATTTTTTCTGAACGTATTTCAAGGCTGAAATTCCATTTGTTTCTAGTTGTCTTGTGGATGCTAAATGCTTAAAACCAGTTTTAAGAACCTATTGTGCCATAGTTTCTAAGCAAGCTGTAACATTCCTGTTTAAAAAAAAAAAGGCCAAGTACATAGCCAGCGAGTGGTTCCTGTTTTGCAATCTGTTCCAAAGAAGCAACTGTCTTTGTCCTGTAGTCAGAACTTTATTGCAGGTGGAATTTTCTTTTTCAGGGGAAGGGGGGGAAGAATGCAAGAGCATTCTGGTCAGGCCGTCGGGTTAAAACAAGGATGTTCAGAGATGAGTGTAGGCTTGAAGAAGTAACTTTGGACTAGCCCTCCTTTTGGTCCTTCAGGGAGTATTTATGTGTGGCATCGCCTTATTCCAACATAGTGGTAGTTGCTGTAAACACATCTAACTTCAAGGCATCAGCTTCCTAAGACTGAAGCATACTGGCCTATTGAAATGGATAGGGTTTTTTTTGCTTCAGTTTTAAGTTAATGTTAATTGGCTAGTGGCTTACTGGTGTGATTTGGAGTCCTGGGGTCCTGTAAGCGCAAATGAGATGTGTTTTGACTCTCCTGAGTCATGATTCACCTGCAGTGTTGTAAAGTCACGTCAGTTAAACAGGCTTGTGGGCAGAGGAAGCAGCTCTTTCCTTGTAAAAGGGGTAAATTGGAGAGAAACCAAGATGTTGAAGGTGTTGCCTCAAAATGCTTGATCCAGTCTTTATTGGGAGGTTGAGAAAGTAAGAATATTAAACTGATATGCTGTCGGTCTTGCAGGTTCGTCTTGTTATGAAGGCTCATTCATTTGTCCGGGAGAATGTACCCAGAGTCCTGTCCTGTGTAAAGGACAAGTCCAGTGAGTAACTTGCCCTACTATTTTGGCAGCAGTGCTTAACCAGCTCTTGTTTTCCTTCCTTTGCCTTGAGCTAGCCTCATGAATTGGAGAGAGAGGATTTGAGTAGGTGACTTTGGATGATGAGGCTCTAGGCTGGCCTTCTGCACTGTAATTTCAGCCTGAACCTTTTCATTCAGTATTAGGGAATGAGTTAGGCTGTTGTTCAGGTCTAAGTCATGTCTGTGTCTTAGGTCTTGCTTCAACAGGACTCCGTATTTCTGCTTTTAGGAGAAAAAGGTGTGCAGAGGCTGCCTGCACACCCCCAGTTCAGTGCTCTAGTTGAAATTACAGCAATTGTAGAAGCACAGAAGCTCTTTCAGCAAGGTGTGCCAGAGCTGAACATGAACCCACATGTTAACAACCTCACCTTCCCTAGGAGGGAAGGAAATGGGAGATAACTACCTGTATGCCCTACCTGTTAGTCATCCTCACTTGCTTCATGGGGGCAACTCCATCTGATAGGTCTGGTTTGGTTTAGTCTCTGCAAATCCTGCACCTTTAGTTCCAGAGTGAGGTTTTTTGAGTTGGTAAGGGTTGTATGTTGTTAAAGGGTACTAGGGAAACCAAACTGTCAATAAGCAGAAAGATTGCAGTGTTCTTTTTTCTCCCTCTCTTCCAGGCACAGTACCTATTCCCAGAATTTCTCAATACCTGTACTTCCTCTTTGCTCCTACCCTCATCTACAGAGACAACTATCCCAGGTAATGTGAGCAACACCAATAGAACATTAAAGTAGTCTAAAAACTGAAGCCAACATCAAGCATCAGTAGATGTGGTCTATTCCATTTATGAGTTAGAGTTTTCGTAAAGATGTGGTTAAGGCAGTAACCGGGCAAGGGCAAGATCATGAAAACTCACTTTAATACTAATAGTATTTTGACTTTACAGTTCTGGTTTTATTTCTTTGGGAAATGCACTTGAATTGAAACAAGTTAAGAACTTGCTACTGAATATCTAGTGACACAGTTCCTGCAGTAGCCTTGTGTGGTATTTTGTGTGGTGCTAATAAGCAGCCCTGCCTCTTGAGTTTGAGGAGGTAGGCTGAAGCCTTTAAAACTGGGAACTCCCAAACTTTTCCTGTACTTTGCTGGGTTGCGCTTTGACAGTGTCAGCTCAGCAGTCCTTTACATGACTACTGGGCAGATCACCACCTCCTACGGAATTGCAAAATGCTGCCCTCCAGATTATTTTCCATTTATGGAATTGCAATAGTTGTCCTGCTGTAGTTGAAAGCTGAGGAATCAGCAATTTGGGCAGACATCTCCTGTTGGATGTCAGGAGACTAAGAACTCTGGAATTAAAGCAGGTTTTTTTCAGAGTGTAGGTCAGTAAAATCAATAATTGAAGGGAGGTTTTTGCTGCTTTGAGGTCCTATTTAGATATGATATCATGTGTTCTGTTTTCCTAGGAATCCTGTGATAAGATGGGGCTACGTAGCTACCAAGTTTGCACAGGTGAGTAGTACAGCTTTCTGAAGAATGCACTTTTGGAGATCATCTAGACTTTGTTGTTAAAACAGTTCTCCCTTTGGCATTCAATCACTGTTTACTTGGTGTGGGATTAGCAGAAAATAATACTTTTTAATGACTAAAAAAGAAACAGGGATCTTGCTGAGCCAATGGTTGTGTCCAAAGGAAAAAAAATAGTATATCCTTGCTTAAACAAGCCTTTAGACTCCATTCCATACAAACAAAAGCTGTGTGTATCTGTGTGTGTGGAGCGATGCCCGTGCTCTGTCCCTCTTTCTTTACATGGATGATGTACTGTAATGCACTGGCACAGCTACCTGTCTGCAGATATTCAGACCAATTTCAAAATAATGAGACCTGGAGTCCAAATCTTCAGTGCTTATTTGAGCTTAAGGTTGACCTCATCTTCACGTTTCTGGACATGAGCTTCAATAGCTTCTTGTGGATGCGTTGCCAAGTAATGGCTTTGCGCGATTGAAACTTTCACTGTCACACAATGCATTCATGTTTTAAAAAGCAAAACGATTAAAAAAACCCCAAAGCATGAAAAGGCCTTTGGCTGCTTGCTTTTTGACAAAAGAGGGTGACAAAGCGCACTCCTGGCTTATAGCAGTCACAGTATTGAAAGCAGAGGCTTGCGTTTTGACCTCAACTTCCAGAACATGAGTTCAAGAGCCAGAGAAGGGCTGAGGTGGTTTGGCCTGTAAACATCTTCAGGGTAAAAGAAAAGTAAGTTTTAATATTGGATTTAACTACAGTAAATGTTTTTCAATTGTTTCTGTGCTTGTCTTGGACCTAGATCACAGGGTACTTTCCCCACTTACTTTGGCATTGGCAGAAATCATTTGTGTCATAACTTCTGAGTTGAGAGAACTAGGAGACACAGCTGCTGAGGTAAAAAAGACAAGTTGATTTTGCTCCTGGCTGTCAACGTGCTACAGGGATGGCTGTGCCTTACTTGCTGCCTGGACCCTGAGGGAGGTTTATTAGCAGCAATGTAAAATAAATTATTTTGACTTGTGTTGGCAGCTGTTGTTCCTCTCCTAGAGCTGTCAAGTGCTGATGTGTTAATTGTGCATTTCTCTTACAGAGTCAGACTTTTTGTTTGTGTTCCAGGTGCTTGGTTCACTTTTCTATGCCTACTACATCTTTGTGAGACTCTGCATTCCTCAGTTCCGCAACAGTAGTCAAGAAACCTTCAATCTTCGAGGGCTGGTCCTCTGCATCTTCAATTCCATTCTGCCAGGTACGGCCCAGATTCACAGGTGACTGTGTCTTTGTGGAAGAGGCAGAAGGGAGGGAAAGTCGTTCATATGAGATGCATTTGTGACAGGCAAAATCGGCACAGGAGGTCTTGTGGGCTGACTTCAATGTTAGGGTGTTAAACTTTAGAGTCAGCAGCACAAAATAAAAGATTGGGTTTGAATTTAACTGTCTTAAAAGTTAAGTTCTAAGCTCTGTGGCAGCCTTGCTGTTACCCTCTGGGGTAAGCATGACCTGTTGCGGTGAGAAGCTGAAAAGCTTTTACTCTATAGGTAGCACAAAGCTCATATGTCAGTGCCTATAAGAACAGTCTTGACTGTGTTGCGTGTTCTTGCTTATAGCTGAGAGAAAATACTACAAAACTAGTCTGAATCTACCTTGTTTCTAGGTGTACTGATTCTCTTCCTGGTATTCTTTGCGTTCCTTCACTGTTGGCTTAATGCATTTGCTGAGATGCTGCGCTTTGCTGATAGGATGTTCTACAAGGTAAGAAGCAGAAGTTGCAGTTTATAAAGCAAACTTTATAACGCTTCTAAAATTCATTTTCCTAATGAAAAGGAAAGAGGATGAAACTGAAGATTTTTTTACGAAACAAAGCATCCACAGGGTTTTGCTTGTCTTACGCTGTTGGGGCTTAAGTTTGTTGCTGTGCTGTAGAACAGATATGATTTCTGCTTGACAGTCTGAATTGTTTTTAAGGTAACAAAAATGCAAACCTGTGCACAGAGCTGGCCACCAGATCTACCCAGTAGCTCTATTAGCACTCTTTATTCTTTTGTCATATCAGCCACAGCAGTTTGGAATAAAACCAAACTTTATACAGAGCAGAATATTGAAAGTGCAATGGAATGCATTATTTTGTTCTGCAACTTATGATATTAGGTTGGTATTATTATCAATATTTTTCAACTTGGTATCACAGAAAAGACCTGTAGAATGTTTTATGCTTAATTAGTTTTATGCTTAATTAGATTTATACTCTTTAAACTGTGCTTTCAGGACTGGTGGAACTCCACTTCCTATGCAAACTACTACCGAACCTGGAACGTGGTAGTACATGACTGGCTCTATTACTATGCCTACAGGGACTTCCTTTGGGTGAGTAACAAGCAACTGTATTCTTGTTGTTAATTAAATATTTAACCACAGAGCAAGACAGTACATGCGTCAAGATGCAGCAACAGTGTCCATTAAGAAGCACAAAAATGTCTTGCCTCGGCTGTTGTGGGTAGCCACTGTGCTTTTTAGAGATCCGTTGCTCGTTTCCAAGTCCTTAGTGTGTGGAAAATGTGGGTCTGAGATGTAGGAGTGTAAGGATTGACTCAACAGTTTGAACTCGTGTTGTACTATTCTGACAAGCTCTGGCAGATATGTCATGAGTGGGCTCAACCTGGGTACTTACACAGGAGACCAGAAATATGCCTGAAGAAAAACACCTAAAATCCAAGCTACTCTGTGAAGCACTTAGTGTTTCATGTATGCCTCTTGGCTGGAGCAGGCACTGCCTATCTCAAGTTAAAAAAAAACAACAAAAAAACCCCAAAACAAAAAAAAACAAACCACAAAATAAACCAATGTTGATACAACCAAACTAAAAACATAGCAGAGTAGCTTATAATACTTGCTATTCTCCTCTCTTGCAGTTTTTTGGTAAGAAGTTCAAAGCAGCAGCTATGCTGTCTGTCTTCACGGTGTCAGCTGCTGTGCACGAATATGTTCTGAGCATCTGCTTCGGATTCTTCTATCCAGTTCTCTTTTGCCTGTTTATGTGCTTTGGAAGTAAGTTCCCAGGAGAGAGCGAGTGGGTTGTGGGGTTTGTGGCTCTTGTTATTGTTTGGTTTTGTTATTTTATTTTTTTTTTTAAAGAAGCATGCTTTGCTATTCTGGTGCAAGTTATCCTTCAGGCACTCATTTCTTGTCCAAGAGTTGCAATTGTGGGTCCAAACTTTGAGCTATTTGGATGCAAAAATCCATTCACAATAGATACATGCATACACATAGTGGGATTTGCAAGTGTGGGACTTGGATGAGCAAAGTATGAATGGGGAGGAGGATGGAGAGAGAGAGACTGCTGTTCATGTGACAGTGTGCATATTTTAATAGCACTGCTTCCTCTTTGCCAAGCCTTAGTTGAATTGCTGCGTGTCAGCGGGCTGGAAGTCTTTTCCTCTTTAAAGTCATAGTGTAAGACAAGTGTTACTTTACTACTGCAGCAAGGAAGAGAGCCTATTTAGAAGTTAGAGCTCTTGTGTTTCCTTTTGGAGATAAAATGAGTTAAAGGGCTCTAATAAACTCTAGGCCACCTCTACCAGCATGTCTTGGTCACCAGCGTAACTAAAGTAATAATGATCCCCAGAAGCATACAGCTGGGCCAGCTTGTTGGCAAACTTATTGGAAATAAATGTCAGAATAAACACATTTGCTCTACTGCCAAGCGTGATCAGATTTTCTTGCACTGTACAAACCTCATGGAGCAGCCTTGTTGCTGCAGAGATGAAGTGAAGGGAGGGAAAGATCCAGTGAAATCAGTCAGTCTTTGATTCTTTAATCCAGAGTTTGTTTGTGAGCAGTGCTTCTCGTTTCACCTCTTTCCAGTGCTCTTCAACTTCATCCTTAATGACCGGCGGAAGGGGCCCATCTGGAACGTGATCATGTGGACGTCCCTCTTCCTGGGCCAAGGTGTCATCATTTGTCTCTACAGCCAGGAGTGGTACGCCCGCCAGTACTGCCCCGTGGAGAATGTGAGTGGCTGACCTTTCCTGTGGGATAACCGACCCTGCCAGTGGCTGGGCCTTTCTTGCTGTGGGGACCCAGTGGCTGGGCCTTTCTTGCTGTGGGGACCTGGCAAAAGTTAAATGATACGAGCCCTTCTGGCAGCGTGCTGTGTCAGTTCATTGGGAGTTATTTAGTCTAGGAACTGTAGATAATCTAGGAAAGCTTTTTCTAACAAAAGTGCTTTCATGAGTGCTCTTTGTATGCTGATAGTTTTTCACCACTTGAAACTGAGGATGTTTTTCTCCCCATTTCTGAGGACATAAGCCACTACTTGAGAGTACACTAGGTCATTCAGGCTTTGTGAATGGAACTGCAGCACTTGGCCAATGAAGTCAGGAGAAACTTTTCTAGGAGGCCCGCAAAAACTGAGGCTATTGTGCCTCTCCCAAGCTAGAGTGGGTGGCAGTGAGAATTGGTTACCTATAAATGATCAGTTTGGGGTTTCGTTGGTTACTTTCTCTGACTTATAACTCATTTTTTTGGTACCAGATTCTGTTCTGCCTAACTTCTTGCTGTCCTAATTGATTCCAGTTTTAACTGAAGATATCATCAGGCAAACTCTATAAGTTTGATCCTCCTCAATTAAGAGTTTGCCATTGTAAACGACTGGCTTCTTGATGTGATATGGTACTAGGCACAGCATTTACCTGATGTGTCGAAACTGGGGGTAAGGTGGGTGGCAGGCAAACAGCTTGTGGCTGTAGCTACGCTTCCACACACTGTTTAGCGAGGATAAGAATAGGGTTGTGGGATGTGAAAATGTGATTTGATCTTTCCTGTTAGGGAAGTTTGACTTCAGCAGACCACACCGCAGCTGGTGCTGTTTGCCTCCGACTAACCTGCTGCCTCTCCATGTTTTGCAGCCCACGTTCCTGGACTACTTAAAACCACGCTCATGGTCATGTCACATGAAGATGTAAAAATGGTGTGCTCTGGCCTGTCATCACAGAAAATTGGAGTTGTCCTCTGAGTATTTGGACCAATGACCTAACTCACTATGGACTTTTTCTAAGGGAAGTTGTGCCTCTTGATCACTGGGGAGAAACTGTAATTTTTTTTAAACATTACTGAAGCAAGCCAGTTGACCTGGATTGTAACAAGCTTCATAGGCAGCATCTGCTACATGCTGTCCCACTTTGAGCCATTTCCATGTCAGTAAAACATCAAGCTGAAGGTGGCGTCTACTGGAATCCTCCTCATCCAGGGGTTCCCCCACGTTGCTGCTCTTCTGGACAATAGTCTAGTCAGATTGTTACTAGCTCATTGTTGGCATCCGTCCATCTTCCTCAGCCATCCCTTTGCAATTTTTTTTTCTCCCTTTTGGTAATGGGATGTCTACAAAGCTTCTGTTCTTTGTGATCCTGTCTGCCGCTGTGATGCAGACAAGTGGCAGAGCAACAGGGTATTTGCCTCCTTGCTCTCTGCAAATAGCCAAAGTATTCCCGGATGGCTTTGAACCATGTTCTGTGTATGTTGGCTGTATACGGATTTAAAATGGGCAGAGGAAGAGGGCATTGTCAGTTTACTTGTGGCTGCATTGGAGAATCAGGTTCAGAAGCAGGGCACAGTGTGCGCAGTCTTTGTGTGACTTTTTACACTGAAAGTCTGTCTGCTCTGTATTCATTAGGTTCCCAACTGACTTTTAGAGTTTTTGTTCTCTGAAGGCCTTGGTGACTTGAATAGTTTTTCTTCTAACTTTTCTTTTCTCTTGCTCCAGATAATCAATTCTTTTAACACAATTAACTTGTAAAACAGCTTTTGCTTTAATTTGGCGGGTGCTTTAAGGTATACAAGTTGTTAAGGCTTTCTTTAGTGCGAAGGATTCAAAATGCTATGACCCAACTGTAAGAAAATGCAATCAACGTCGGAGGTACATAGCGCACTCTCACCTGAAATGGCTGTGCCCAGTTCAGTACGCCAGCACGTCCTGGTGCCTCTTGCCCGTCTGTATTGTAGCAGCTTCTGATGCTGTCGGTGGGAGATGAGGATTGACCCCGTGGATGGAGTCAGAGCTGCTTTCTCATCTGCCCGTGTCTGCTTGTGTGTCAGTGGGGACAGCAGGTGAAGGTGGGTTTCCTGGGTGTTGCTGCATTCTTTCTGAAGACAGAATGGGACATCCTCCTGTACACACTGCTAAAGGGAGAAGCATTATGGGAATGCATCTATTAACTAGGCAGAGTCCCTTCAGTTTCCTTGTTCCGTCCGATGCTAAGCACAAAAGGGAACTTACATGGTATCTGGGTACTTGTCTCTCCACTCCTGCTGGAGCTGTAGCTCCTGTTATTGGAGAGGGAGGGTAACCTGACCGAGGTACCTTACTGTGGTCACAGGGATTTCTGAATTACTCAAATGCTCTTTATTGTCACTTTCTGGTAACAGCTTCTCCTTACTGGCCTACAGCCTAGGTGTTGGATGCCGACAGTATTGGGACTGCTGATGGACTTGTCTCCCAATCCACTTAAGACCACCTTTTGGGCTTCTATTTTTACTAACCTGAGTCAAAAGTAATTTCATGAAAGCTAGATGATACTTAAACTATTCCAGGTTTTCAGTTCTCTGTAAGAAGGAATCCCGCTCTTCAGAAAGGACATCGTGTCAGGTCAAATTTGCCAAATACAGCATTTGCATATGTGGCTCTCCTCTGAAAATATCTCCTACTAGAATTTGATAGTTGAAACAGTTGGGTTCATTTCAGAGTAAGGAGTTCATGTGTATACTGGAACTTGGCAGTATTAGTACCTAAAATCCTGAGAATGAAATGGATTACTTTCTCCTCATTCAGTTTGATTAATCCTAAATCTTTCACTGTACGTTTTGTGGGAGGAACGGACAGAAGTGCTGGAGCAACTAAGCTTCCTTTTTTTTTTGAAAACAAACCGCACCCTTTGGCCAACCAGCTTTGTCACCTCCAGGATGAAATTCAGTCCAGTACTCTTCTGTTGTGGTGCTCAAAACACTTCTCTACAGCTGTAATTGCACTCAAACAGGGTTCGATGGATTAGGGACTCAATTTATCTTCTTGGTGCCTGTGTCAGGTCTTGCTACTGTCCCAGAGTTCTCAAAAGGAAATCAAATCATGGCACTTTGTGAAAAGTTTTGGTGTTTCCCTCGCAGCTGGCGCTGTCATATTCCTAATAAAGAATTTCAGCATTTACCAAGTCACCATCCTTGGTGTTTGAAGCCTGAGGGCTTGAGCATCTGTCAAGCAAAAGGCAATTGGAAAGGGATGCTCAGCTGTTGGAACTAGTCTTAGTTTTTGACAGGTTGAGGTTTTTAGCCTTGTAGATCAAGGCATCTGGCAACTGTGCTGTCAGGGCATTAACAATTGGGATTACTTTCAATTTCATGGGTTTTTTTAAATTGCTTTTGAATGGGGGCTTATTTTCATTTTTCTCAAGAGTACAGGAGGGGAAATAGTCTTCTGCACATTGCTTGTTTAATGAGAGTCAGTTATACCATGTTGGTTTGAGTTTTCTTAGGCTGTGAGCGCCAGAGCTAGCAGTATGGTATTCTGCTCAAATAATGAGGACGCTACAGTTCACAGTCTGCCCTTTGCAAGTTCTTAATAATAGTGTATACTGTTTTCTATGGTTCTTTCCAACACAAGAATTATGGAGCTTGCTTCCATGGTAACTCCCTCAGTTTTGAGGTGGGAAGCCTCCAGCTTTTGAGTGGCAGCCAGTACAGCTGCAGCTCCTTGCTCAATCACATCACAAAAATCAGTATTAATATGGTGAAATGCATCCTGGTTTTCACGCAGGGAACAGTTTGTTCTCAGGAAGACTGAACCTGTGCAGAGTCTCTATGCCTAGCACGTCCTTTTTGTCGGGGTGTTTAGCTTCCAGCCTCCAGAGGTGAAGCAGTCCTGCGTCTGAGCTGCTGACTGTATGCTGTCCTGTGGCAGCCATCTAAGGCATATGCTACATGCTGTGGTGGTGGGGAAATCCTGATGTATTTTTTTAGTATGAAATGGCACAAATTATGTGAATCGGGCCACCTACTAAAGGAAGACTGAACTGTTTGAGCTCCCACCTTCTGAATGTAGATGGGCTGGAAGGACGTCAGCGGAAGTGGGCGATCCCACACTCGGCGGCATCAGGGTTATGAGCTGGCTCCCTGCAGTACCTCCGAGCCAGCTGAGTTCCGCCTCGTCTCTTCTCCCTGTGCTTGCAGCCAGGGCCAAGCAGCCATCGCGGCCCCTTCACCTGCAGAGGCCGAGGAGAGGCGCGGGAGCAGAGGGCAGCCCAGCAGCCACCGCTGCTGCTCTGTGTGCCGGCCCTGGCACCAGCGGTTCCGTGTATGCAACCTGTACCATGTTCTGTCATGCAGAAGAGCTGTTTATAATCTACTGTATTACAGCGGTTGAAATATATTTTGCTATTAGGGGAGAAAAAAAAAAATCGCCTTGGCCTGTTTCTTTCTGCTCTGAGGCTCCTGATTTGGGAGGGGATGCAAGAGGGCATAGGGGCGTGGGGCTGGGGCAGGGTGGGATTGCTGTCCTGGGGAGGTGGCTGCTGTGGGGAGATATGGGTCACAGTCTTGTGGGGCTGGGGAGGGAAGGCGGGCATCTTCTAGAATGTGGGGAGAGCCCTGTTTCCGTGGCGATGAAAGGAGCTGCCTGGCAGGTACTGGGGTTCCCTCTGCTGCTCTGACGGGGGAGCTGGCCTGCCTTGGGGGTCTGGGGGCTGCAGGCTGGGGGGGGACCTGACCTGAAGCTGCCTGTGCCCACAGCTCTGGGGACAGCTGCCTCCCAGCCCTCCTGGAGGCGGCTGCAGGTCTCCCCTTCCCAAGGGCAGGGAGGGGAGAGGGAAGGAGGAGCTGTATGGTGGCAGAGCAGAGCCTGCAGGTAACTGGTGAGACTGGAGGGGAGGGAGGAGGCCCCCTTGGCTGGCTGTGCCAGAAGAAACATTTACACAAGCCCTTCTTCAGGCACTGAAAAAGCAGCTGTAAATGTTGGAGCTCAATACCAGCTGAGAAGCATCGCTGGGGTTTTATAAGCTGCGTATTGGCCATCACGTATCTGTTAGAGGAATGGATGTCCTTGGATGTGCTGGAGAGGAGCATGGGGAAGGAGTTGATAGCTCTTGGAACAGACCAGAGTTTTGAACCTCTCCCCATTTAATGCATATTAAATTGGAGCAACTGCCAAATGTATATCATGTTGGTGATGTCTGCCTTTATTCTGGGCCTGAAAGGGGTTTGCGTGCCAAGAACTTGCTACGATATCTTCCAGCTGTGCACCACATGCTCTAAAGTAAAATCTTGTCTGTGTCCTTAAACTGTAGCTGCTACAGAATTGTGCCATTAATCTTCCCGTCCTTTCAGATGGGAATATGGTGTTCTGCCAAACAGAGCTGTTAAAGGAAAAAAAAAAAGTTTTTCTTCTGTTAGAAGTTTTTAGCAAATATATGTATTTTCTTTCCAGTAAACCATTTATGCAGCAAGACAAGAAACCACCTGGCAAGATGATTCCTAGATGATACCTACACCCACAAGCATGTATCTGAAAGCAAAGAAATGTAATTAACCTGATTAGAAACCACTGTACACGAGGATACAGCTGATAAGGAGGTCAAAAAGTTCCAATAGCAAGAACACTTATAAACAACAATATATCATGGCAAAGCTGGTGGGGAAAAAAGGCTTCAGATGAGAATTCATGGACATTACATAACTAATGGAAATATGATTTTTTTTCATTAGTAAGATATTGCTAAGAAGAAAAAGTGGTTAGATTAATAATTGGAGAAATTAAGATAGAATTAAATTTCTGGCCAGTTAAATGTATGAAAGAAGCAGTTGTTCTTAGTGCAGTTTGTAGATGGAAAAACAAGCACCCCTGTGGAGGATGTAGCAAAGCATCAGGAGTTTCTTCCTAACTGATGTACCTACTCTCAGGCATAAGGGTTTTGGTTTTTTCAAAATAAATAATAATAAAATAAGCTGTTAACCCTGTGAAGTACAAATGCGGGCTTAATTCTGTTCCTAGATCATTTGTTACTGCACATTTCCTTGGCCAAGCATTAAAATAAACATTCACCATGCCCACAATGGGAGTGCCAGCTCCTGGACCAAAAGCTGATGGAAGGAAACGGAGTGACACCTCACGGGCAGGCGCGGTCAGCGAGGACCACTCAGGTAGGGCTGGGCTGGGGGCTGCATGGGTCCTGCATCTGACTCTGTCCTTCCAGTTTCCTTTTAGCAGCAGGATGCTTCCCTGCATGAAGTTTTG